GGTTTAGGGGTGAGGGGGAGAGTGTTCCTTCCGAAACAAGTCGACAGATGCCTAAGTTCCTGTTGTATAAAGACCTGAGAGGAACAAAAGAAACAGGTAGAAGAGTACAAAGTGTTGCCTAATGTGAAGGCCTCGAAGGCAGAAACGAGTAGAGGATGCTGCTTTCTGTAATGAGCCTTGCTGAGGTGAGTCCTGAACTATGTACATCGTATTTATTGTATTACTTTGATGAAACTCTGGAAGCTCTATGTAAATATATGGCATTAAAACAAGTGATTATTTTCAGAGTTAGTCTCTAACCAATGTAGCCCAGATAGCCTCACGCCTACTCTTTCTACAGCTGGGACTACAGCTGAATTTAATAAAGAAGAAAAATGGCAGTTAGATCCTATAGCTACAAACTCCTTGAGTACAATATATCTCTAAAATTGGGTAAAGAAAAACCTGAATTTCTCCTAACTGGTCTAATCTTCTAAAAAGTCATTTTAAAAAATGCCTCATTCATTGTCATTGCGATTCCAGCTACATTTACAATGCGCTATTTTGCCATCATTAACACAACATACCTCTCTAGTTGAAACTACTCTTTCAATTTCTATTGTTTAATTGATGGTATAATTGAGTCTGGCAAGAATATTTGAAATGTCCCACTATGATTTTCTTGAACTTTACTTCAATAACTTCCAAAAGCACATGGCTAGAAATTGAACCTTCTCATATACTATCTTCTTTTCCATATATGACCCTAGACTTAATTCATGTGCTAACTCTAGGAGGTCAGAAGTAACACAAAGCCCATTATAATGCTTCAAGTAAAGTATTATTACTGCCCAGAAAAAAAAATCTCTATTATTTTGAAGTAAATGTTTTGGTTCTAAAGTCATCTTTCTCCAGATAATACAAAAGCAAATGGTAAAGAATTATCTATCTATCTACCTACCTATATCAATCTATAGCTGTATCTGTATATTCTCTCTCTCTCTCTCTCTCTCTCTCTCTCTCTCTCTCTCTCTCACACACACACACACCTGTCCAAAAAAATAAATGTAGCAATTTTTCACAAGTTTTAAGGAAAACTAAAACATCAATAAGCAAAATCAATCAATCCCCGGTCAAATTAAACAGTGTTTAATGAACAAGCACCTGGCTAAGGTCAAACTGATCAGCCATTGCAAAAGAAAGGTACTACCACACTAAGCTATACAAGGATATATGACATCTAAATTTTAGTTACTCAACTGTCCTATAGCAGACTCTCTCCTCTCCATCCACAGTTAAGTCTAAACTTCTATTTCAGTGCCTCCTTGAAGTATTTTGAAGTTACTCATTTTAAAGACACATCAGCACATATTTCAGTCAACTCCTTTTGGCTCCTAGAAAACACTGCTGTTTTCAATTACCATTGTCAGAAAGTGAGGCACCCTCTGGTCTTTTCACTGAAAATCAATTATGGGGAGAAAAAAATAGTTTAGGTGGTCTAATTTAGCTGCGCCATATGTACAGTACAAGGCATTCAACAGCTTTGATGGAAAATTGGCAAGGATTTTAGCCAGCTGTCTGAGGTCTTGGTGTTACACTTGGAAGATGAATATTCATTCATTAATTTTTCTTTACTCTGTACACATAACCTTTTTTCCTTCTAGAATTATGAACTTTCCTCCTGTCCCTTCCAGTTGGGACAAGGTTAAAATCCCTGCCACATCCCTTTACACAATATTCTGCTAATTACCACTCCTCTAAAATAACGGCCTTGTTTTATGCAATACATAATACACTGTATGTATTAGCTGGCATGTTTTTATCTTGGCATTTTCTGAATACAGATTTATCTTCCCGGTTGAGGTGTACAAGAACTGACTTTACCCAGTGTTTACTCTTGCTTTCCCACCTGCTTTCACCAAGTTCATTTTGTTTTCAAACAGTACAATTTGGGGGGTTGTCTAACTCTGACCACAATGCACAAATACATTTACTATTTCAACCCAGGTCACACACATGTAAAACTAAAATAAGTTTACTCAAGACAAGTTTGTATTGTAAGATAGAATACACGTTGATTTTATATTCTACTGCACTTCATTTAAAAAAAAATGCTGACAATCCACTACACTGACTTTATAGCCCACTAATGGGTCACATCAAAGCTGAGGGAAATTCTCAATGGTATAAACACTTCTGAATTCTGTGAAAACAATCTGGATTTTGGTCTTAATTATTTTGGTACATAACTGCAAGAGCTTACATGAGTCATTTCATTTAAGAACTTCAGTTCCTTAACAGTGAAATAAGGGAGCCAACACACTATGGTATGGGACTATAATAACTGGACTTAAGAATTAAAGTTCTGGAACCACAGTCAACTTTAATTTTCTGAGACATTTCATTCTAGCAGCACTGTGCTAAGATAACTAGGTGATGTTATGGTGAAATTAAATATTTTAAATTTGACTTAAATAAGTATTTGAAGAAATAAGCCAACTATTTTGTTTCAAAACTTTTCATCAAAATGAAAAGCAAAACACATCATTCTTCTTAAATTAAAATTGTGTTGCTTTGTTATAGATAGAAAATACGGATAGGTTAAATAACTGTTTGGAAAAGAGACCACAAAACAGGGAAATAGTTTGCAGTGATGTTGGAACTTTAGAGAGCTTTGCAAGCACTAACAAATGGGTTAAACCCTGGTGACTATTCATCAAAAGGCACAAATATTGCAATACAAAAATATCTCAGTGCATAAAATGCTGTGATAGAAAGTTTCCTGTAAATCAGGTGACCTTAAAAAAAAAAATGTTTACATCCATCCCAATAAGATTAATGATCCCTCGCTGTTGTTCCACCTAAAATTCTATTCCTAGGGTTGTTTTGAGGAAGATACAGTATTTATAGAGTACTCTGCCATTTGTCTGTAAAAACATTTGTAGTGTCAAGGCAAGATTTACCTACTCACCTATATGCTTGAGGAGTATATTAGTAGAACCTACTACAATTTAAATTCACTCCAAACCATCTAAAGTGCTGATACCTACTTAGTTGGATTCACCTGATTATTTTGTCAAGTTATTTCAATGCTATTTTGATTGAAAAATAAACTACAAAAGGAAAGTCTAGATATCAAATACTAGCAATAGTTGGATGATAACTAATGATGATAGAAATCCATTCAAAAGAGGAAATATTAAAAGCATATTAGCTATGTATACACTATCATCAATCTAACATACTTATAAAAATAGTAATAGCATCATAATTTTTAAATGCAAATATTTGAAGGCACATAATTAATCCCCATCAAAAAATGCAAACAAGTTCATTTCCATGACTTAAGTACATATCTCCAGAAAAGGTCAAATGGGGACTAAACCCAAAATAATGAGAGTGGTATAAGGTCTTATAGTTAGTGATAACCTAAGAACCACCAACAGAGCATTTTCCAGTACCATATTCAGGCTGAAACTGAGTTACAATACACTTGGGTTCCACAAAAATAAAGGTGCAGCTTCTAAAAAGAATGGCTTGAAGTTTCAGAAAGTTATCTTGATCTTTACAACTTGAGTTACCAAAAAGAGTAAAGTACTGACAAGGAGGATGAAAGCTTTACATATGAATGTGCTCCATGCATTTTGGTTCTCAGAGACAAACCAATTACTAGTGAGTGCCCTTTACAGAAGAGTTAAGGGAAACGGAACAGCGCCGTTCCCAAAAGGAAACCAGTAAGGTTATCCGTTTCCAAGCCCCTCCTGTGCAATCATGCAATAGGAAGACAAAGGAAGCAAGGACAGCCCAACTTGCCAAAGTAGGAAGGGTCCTACACTTTAAAAACCAGGATACAAGAGGGATGGCAGCTCTTCTTCATGTCGCTGCTGTGTGGAGGAGAGTGCTGTTCACTTTCCCTGGAATGAGCCTAAGTTCCACCCTATCTGAAGCTTCTACTCACCCGACCACATCCCACCACCTCCAGTGACGGAAGAAAGGACATTATTATTACTCCATGAGTAAGTTGCATGAAAAAATAAACAATAAAAAGAATTAGAACCCCTCCAAAGTGCCTCACTGATGGGAAGCAGAAAGAGCTAACAAGATTTCAACTGAAAAATAAGTTCTGCCAGCCTCACATTTTTTGATAACTTCAAGTTTCTGACAAATAAAAAAATACGTTCCTCGAATCTCACTTTCCTTCAATCAACAGTTTAATTTCAAAAATTAAAGAAAGTTCCTTGGTTGCTAGGCAATAAAGTGTCCTCAAGCTGCCCACTCCATCCCTTAAAAAGCCTCCATTTTTTTTTTCTTTTACAACATTATGGATAGGAAAACTACCTTAAACACACACACACACACACACACACACACACACACACACACAGTCAGCCTCTGAAATGAGAAGCTATCATTGAAAATGCAGGGGATGGACGGAAGGCAGCACCACGCAGAGGGAAGGAACCCTCTCTAAGGAGAGCTCCAAAGCTAAGCAGCCTGGTCTGCCACGGGAGGGGGGACCACACGCGAACCCCATCCAGCCTGGGCGTGGGAAGAAAGAACAGAAACAGTCACAGGCTGATACCAACCCCTACCCATCCCCCGCCACTACGAGAAAAAAAAAAAGAAAAAAAAAAAAAAAAAAAAAAACTGGGAAAAGGAGCAATGCCTAGTAACAAAAGGACAAAACAGCATGAGTTTTTTTCAATGAACGCAAACGGGGAGCTTGAGACCCCAAAAATCAGCAGAGCAGCAGCAGAATGCAAGGAGAAGGGAGGGACCAGTTCATCCCCTTCTGCAGGGCGGGAGCTGCTGGATGGAAGCAAGGTTTCCGCCCTCCAGTTAAGCCTCCTTTCCGCGCCCAACTTGCACCTGCCTGGCCACCAAGTCCGGGGGCCCCGGCGAGCCCGCCCGCCCGCCCCTCTCCCCCAGCCCACGCCCTCCCCGCCCTCCGGGGCCTCGGCGGCCAGGGGACCAGGGTCCCGGGCGGGGAGCGGGGAGCGGGGAGCGGAGCGCGGCAGTACCAGGTGTAATCGTCCTCGGCGCGCCAGGCTGCCAGGCTCTCCAGGTCCAGCGGCTCCACCTCGTCCAGCGGCGTGGGGGGCGGGGAGGGCGGCGCAGGGGGCACCCCCGGCGGCGTCCCCGCGCCCCCCGGCTCCGGCCCGCCGCCGCCCGCGCCGCCGAAGAAGCCCGCGGCCGGCTTGAAGTAGACGAAGGGCGCGTCGGGGGGCTGCGCCAGGCTGCAGAGCAGGGAGGGCGCGGGGCTGGGCAGGCAGAAGGTCCCCGGGAAAGCGGGGCTGCTGCCGCCGCTCCCGCCGCTCCCACTGCCAGCAGAGCCCAGCGCCAGCCCGAGCCCCAGGGCCCCCGGGGCGGGGGTGGAGGCGGCGGCCGGGGGGCTCCGGGGGCCCAGCGGGCTGCAGGCCCCGGCGGGGGGCGGCGCGGCGGGCTGCGGCGGCGGCGGCAGCAGCAGCAGGTGCGGGGCGGCGGCCGCGCTGGCCGCCCGGCTCCGCAGCTGCTCGTTCTGCTTCTCCAGCTTGCGCACCAGCTCCTGCAGCTTCTTCACCTCCAGCTCGGCGTTCACCACCGGCCCGGAGGAGCCCGCGCCGGAGCCGCCCCCCGCCGAGGCGCATGTCACCTGCTCCGCCATCATCTCGGGCCCCGCGAGCGCCGCGGCTCAGGCGGGCTGCGCGCACCGTCCTGCCGGCCCCTCCGCCGCGGCGAGGCTACGGCTCCTTCCCGGCTTCCCCGGCCGGCGGGGCCGAGCGCGCTGGGGCCCTGGCTGGGGCTGCGGCTGGGGCGGAGCGGGATGCTCGCATCAGCACCGGGCCGCGGGCTCCGGCCGAGGCAGCCGCCGCCGCCGAGCTGCTCTGCACATGCTCAGAGCCGCCCTCCGGTCCCCTGGGCCCCCGCGCGGCTCCGGGTTTTAGTCGCGGCCCCGGGGTGGGGCGGGGCGCGGGCGCAGGTGGGCGGGGCCTGGGCGTGGAGGAGCGGCCCGGGGTGCGAGGCTTCCGAGGGGCGGGGCCTCTGCACCGCCCAGACTACCTAATCCCAGGTGCCTGATTGGACCTGGGAGGAACTTTCCCGCCAGAGGCACTTCCTCCCGCCCCGGGGAGGAGTGCGCCGGGCGGGCATCCCCGAGCTGGGGGCGGGGTCCCAGAGAATCCGCTGCTGCAGGTGCAAGCCCTGGGAGGCTGCACCTCGCGCTCTCCCTCAGGTTTGTTAACCTTCCAAAAACACTGTTGGTTTAGCAACATTGGCTGCTAGCCACTAGCTAAGGAAACCATAGAAAATCAAAAGGCAAGGACCTGTTACCCTAAGCACCGAAAAGTAAATTCAGGGAACAAGAAAGGCTTTGAAACGATGCTGTCAATCCACTAAATCAGTGTTTCCCAAACTTCTCTCATGATGAGAATCACCTGGTGGAGTTGTTAACTAGTGCTCTAAGCATACAATTTTACCTATATGTTCCCAAAAATTCTAGTTTAGCACTTCTTAGTTGGGATTCAGGAATCTGTAGTTTAACGACTCCACCAGGTGATTCTCATCATGAGAGAAGTTTGGGAAACACTGCACTAAATGGGTGATACAGGAGCAAAATGGTGGGAGAGGGGAGGCCAAAGAGAAAGAAGAAATCCCCCTCACTGAGAGAGAGAAAGTGACCAACTGCTAAAGAGACAAATGTACACTTCAGTTTATTCAAGAATAGTCTAATTTGAACTATTTTATTGCCACCAACGTTTGCCCCAATAAAACGATCGTTTCTTCATACCATATGTATTAAACAAAACACAGCACCCACTCTGCGCCTGACACCTGGGTGAGACTTGGCCGTGCAAGCAGTGACTAAAACAGATGAAAGTCATGACGCCAGACACATGAGTAAAATTGTGTAGCAGCTCCACCTGTTACATAATTAACAAGCTATTAAGGTCAGGCTTGCTGGGGGACAAAAGAAAAACAGAAAGCCTCAGAACGCTACCCCTAACTCACCTGTTTCTTACATCTTGTGGAAACACATCTGCAAACCTGCTTTAAGACAAGGAAGGACAGGCTTTAAAGTAGAAGAATTGAATCCAGTGTTCTTCAATCACTGTTGACTTAGCATTTTAAATGTCTAACACAATCAGACAGAAGTCATAGATTTCATTCTGAGAAAAGTGCACACAACTGGTTCTTATCCTCTGATACCTTGGGAAGGGCTGACTCGGGGGACTTGACACACCAATCTTTGTGACAATGAATCGCATGGCACTGGACACACAAACACATTGTATCAGTTGGTTTAGAGGTGTCCCTATGTCTACCTGCTCAGAAACACTTCTCGGTTGTCAAACTGTATCTCTAGCTTCTGTGTGAAGTGGGTGCTCTGTACTTAACCTGCTTGGTGAGAGCTTCAGTAAATTAGATAAGCATGTGTGTATAATTACCCGGAACCTTCCTTCCAGCTGGCTAGACCACCACCAAACCACCTGTATCCCGCATCACCTTTCCAAGTTTCGGTTTATCTTCTGGATTCTCTGGTTATTACTAAAACCTGGAGAAGTGGACTAAGACTACTGAAAAGTCCTAACTAAAAGAATCTATTGAAGGATTTTTTTTCCGCATGCTCAGTGGCAGATGCGGGTAGCAGTATCCCTGCAACACAAAGAAAGGGAGAGGATAGACACAATGAGAACAAAGAGCTGCTGAGTTCCACATTAGAAAAGAAGTTGGAAATAGGCGCAGGCTAGTGAAGACAACAAGAACTAACACGTAAAGAAAAGCAGTCGCTGTAGTGCGAAATGTATACACCATAGAGGAGAGGGGTAAACAGCTGGTTCCTCCCCCATTTGCCCCATATGGTCTATAGAATGCATCCAAGCAACCAGTAGTTGAGTTTTAGCACGGTGTTTTCTAAATAGCACTTATTGTAAAAGTCTTTGTTTCTTAAAAAGAACGCATTGAAATTTAGACCTAAAAGAGAGAGAAAACATTCTGGGCCTAAATTTCTATTCTGCAAATAGAACTGTGCCCTCTTCCTGTTTTAAAAGTGTGAAAAAGATTTGTGTCTAGAGAAATGTTAAATCGTTTCTTTCCTTCCTCTGTTACCCCTTCTGTGAATTGCACATGTATACACACCAGAGACACGAAGAAAAATGCATACTGGTTTTAAGTTGGTATCCCAGTTGGTATCCCAGGATGCCAGTCTCTTTAACACGTACATAATTAAAAGAGGTTGATGGTGTCAAGGTTTTAATTAAGCAGACTTGATTTTTTTCTATTTTGATGCAAATTTCTAGGATTTGTGTTTTGAAGGAAATTTCACACATAGCTGCTCGATTTTAATTTTTTTCATCTTAAATGAAATACACAAGGTGGTTTCAGAGGTTTTCAAAGAAGATATGAAAAATATTTACATGTCTCATTGAAAACTTTGTGCTTTACAGATATGTTTGAAGCGCCATAAGCTGATGAGAAACATTCATATACCACTCATTCTTCTAAGAGAGAAAGTAGACTTATTTTGATTTGTAGTTTTCACATACATCTGTAATGATCTATGGCCATCCAATTGTTGCAGCCACAGAATTACAAAACAGCCTAGTTTCTTCTTGAATTTATAAATTTAATTCTCCAAGGAAACCTAGGAACAGCTGATTTTCATCCCAGTTTTACAGATGACCTAACAAGGTTAGATTACTTGCCCAAGTTAAAGCATGAAAATGAGAGTTCTCAGCAGTTTCTAGTGATCCAACCACTCTTTTTCTTATAGAGTACCATTCCTCTCAGAGTAAGTACCATGTTTGAAATGTATATTTTCAATCAGTGCAGTGGACATACCTTAATATGAGCATCACATTCATTCAAGTTGATAGATCCAATTACTGCAAGAGAAAGTCACTGAATGTGTTAAACTGAGATCAAAGGTCCCTGACTGTGTTTTCGTGTGGATTCAGCCCAGACTAGTGTTTGATTTTTTTATTTTTTATTTTTGGCATCTTAATGGACATTCCTGTTTATCCACACATAATAGACTTGACTACTGTGACATCCCACTGCCATTGTGCAGTGCCTAGCACAGTGTTTAGCACATAGCAAAGAAACATTGAAATAGGTTTTTAAAGAATAGATGAGTACATAGATAACTCTCCAAGTGCTAGTTGAAATTTTGACAAGAGCCTAATTATTTCCATAACACATGAGGACCTAAGGGCTTTCTACAGACCTCATAATAATTAATTATTTTTCATCGAATGAATGCATTTTCATGTAAAGCGATAATGCAGAGAAAAAAAACGAAAGAAAACATGATGCCAGAATTTGTGTAAATACAGGCATTCCTCATTTTGTGTGCTTTGCTTTATTACACTCCTCAGATGTTGCTTTGTTTTTTGTGTGTTTTTTTAAATTGAAAGCAAGGTTACGTTTGGCTTCATTGTCGTGGCCTGGAACTGAACATGCAAATGATATCTCTGGGGTAAGGCTCTAGTCCTCTTCTGTTCTGATCCCACCCAACCCTCCTACTCTACTACCCATGTAATTACATCCTATAAAGTCACATGCAGTAGTAGTTATAATAACAATAATAGTAATAATACCAATTCTGTTTATTTGGCAAGCTATACTTGTCAGAGCCCTTTTATCATAAACAGTTATTACATGTCTATCACATTCAAGTCACAATGCAAGGTGGTATTTTAAGAGTGAGTAAAACAGTGTCTCTGACACCAAGATCTTATCTGGTTGTAGAAAAAGCATATGAGAAACTATAGTACAAGACCTAGTGTGAGAACAGGGAACAGAAGGACAACGGTCAGAGGGGAGGGCGGTTAGAGGAAAACCCCCATACAGCGCGCAGTAGGGTGATTGCCAGAGGGGGAAGAGGCCAAAGAGGAGATTAAACAGTGGCAGAAAAAGACCTGACTTTGGGTGATGAGTGCATGATGAAGTATATAGATGATGTGTTATGGAATTGTACACTTGAAAACTTGTATGATTTTATTAACCTATGTCACACCAATAAATTCAATGTTTTGAAAAAGATAATTAAAAAAAAATACAAATCAATGGCATCAGGAATGCCCAAGAAGGGACAATTAATTTGGGGAAGACTTCATGTAGAAAGCACACGTTATTTCATCCAGATCTCTTTATTTTGCTGTGAGCCTTTGGGGCAAGTGTGATAGTCACCAAAGCACCCAGTTCTAATTCCTAGCTAGTATTATTTACTCTCTGGTCAGATCACTTTGTTTTTATCTACCACTACTCCCATTGAAATGAAACTTTTACAATTTATCTTTATAGTAGCTACTGGTGCTTAGTAAATGCCAGCAACTATTCTGAGCCTATTACCTGTATTAACTCATTTAATCATCACACAACCCTTTGAGGTAGTTTCTATTGTTATCCTTACTTTATAAATGAAGAAATTGAGGCAGAGAGAGGTCAAACAATCTGCCCAAAGTTACCCAGGCAGAGCCAGGATTTGAAGCCAGGCAACCTGGACTCAGAGTTCAAGATCATAAATCGCAATATCTCTTTTCTGGTCTTAAGCAGCATCTGTTCTTAGTGAGTTATCAATAAAAGCTATTAATTGATGCAAAATCAATAGTCAGGAATGCCTGGAACAAAGTCTGATTCATTAGCAAGCAAATATTATTGAAACTTTAA